CTTCGCACGGTGGCAGGGCCCCACTTGTGGGACAACACTTCTGCAGTGGACATGCCTGGCTTTAGACAGGCGTGCTCTCCGCAAACCCTAATTTCCTCCCGCTAGCACATCGGCTGCCTTCAGCCCCAGTTCCTCTCTCTCTCTCTCTCTCTCTCTCTCTCTCTCTCTCTCTCTCTCGTCAGGTCTTACTAAAAGCCACAGGAGCTAGTCAATTAATGCTGATATTCTGAATATTTCCCTGCTAACTTCCGAGCCTTATTGAATACGTGGTCTGAGACCCAAAGTCCCTGGGTAACAGCTGGACCTAATTTTATGAGTGCATCACAATAATCAGCTTCCCAACCTCGAAGGTGGGGCCTCACTGCCCAGCGCCCTGTGACCCTCAGGCAATGGCACACGTGAGGTTCTGTTAATTGTCACACCCCCACTCCTGGACACGTTTATTTACAAACATCAGAAAACCTGAGTAAGAGTGTGAACAAAAGGGGATTGCTACTGCATACACAGTGGGCCGAGTGTCCCCCAAACTTCATGTCCACCCAGAACCTCACGACGTGACCGTATTTGGAATCGGGTCTTTGCAGACAGCCAAATTGAGATGAGGTCATTAGGACACACTCTTGTACGGTATGATTGTGTCCTTATCGAAAGGGGGCATTTGGACACAGACATTCACGGGGAGAAGCATGTGAAGATGGAGGCAGAGGTTGGAGCAATGCGGCCACAGAGCAGGGACGCCCAGGACGGCAGGAGCCACCAGACGCTGGAGGAGGCAGGCAGGACCCTCCCGAGAGCTTTTAGGGAGAGTGTGGCCCTGCTCCCGCCTTGACCTCGGACTGGCCACATTGCCGACAGCCACATGGGGGCAGCGTCTCCTGTGCTGGGCAGCTCAGCGGTCCAGGACGCTGTCCCATTACACATCGTCACCTGGCAGGGCAGGGCCCTGTCCTACCTCAAAGTGGCAGCAGAAAACCTTCTGTTTCCAGACTGTCCAGGAGACCCACGCCTGTCCTCAAGGCCAACTGGCCACCTGCTGTTTGCCCAGGGGGCTGCCCTCTGTCCCTGCGCCCTCGCTGGCCGTTCGGCTTGTCTGTCACCATCACTGTGCGGCCAGTCCCTGGCTTTTCCCTCCGTTGTAAACACTGACAGCATCAAAGCACAGCCGCTAAGACACTCCCTGTCCCTCGCAGGGTCTGGGACGCTGCCCCCAGCCACCCCACGCACAAGGCAGGGCGAGTCCATCACTCGGACACCAGCTCAAGCACCTGCACCTCCACACACGCTCCAATCACCCCTTGCCAGAAAGTTCTCCCTTGTACATGAGAATAGAAACGGGCCCTATGGAAACATAATGGCGTTAAAACCACTGATTAAGTTTTACACAAACATGGGAGAGCAAACGAAAGGTTTTAGCTTTTTAATTTAAGAAAAGAGGAATGTGATATAATTTCAATTTGTGATGAGATGAGATGCTCCTGATACTGTGGTTTCAATTGGATTACATCCGAACACACTTTGTAAAGTGTCAGCTGCTACAGACTAAGGTGTGTGCATGACACTTTTTATTAACAACGGAACGGGCTGTGCTGACTCCATCGTCTTCCTCAGCACTTCCGGCCCTGGGAGGCCTGGTCAGTGCCCAGTCTGGAATCTGACCCAGGCCCAGGGGACCAGGAAGAGATAACAAGGTGGACAGGTGACAGCCGGGCTCTTAGGACCTGCCACAGCCACCTGGGTAAGGCCTCTGCTGGGGGGTCCCCGGGAGCCAGGGCAGGAGGCCCCGGGAATCAGAGCTCCTTACTGGTGGGGTGAGTGGGAGCCACAGCAGGCTCCGGGGGAGGGGGACTCCAGGCTGCCAAAGGGCCAGCCTGCAGCGCACATCTGGCAGGAGGAGGGGCCGGACTGCACCCCTCCCCCACAGGGTTAGGGGCGGCCTGGGCTGAGGGGACACACGCACTCAAGAGGTCATGTCCACCGCCCACATCATGCTGCAGGTACCCAGGACCCCCGAATGTAAATCCCTTCAGGGTCTGCATGCGCCCCAAACACTGGCGTGCACAGGCAGAAAGCAGCGTGGGAGGAAGGCCCCCCCAGGGCAGGACAGGCCTCGGGTTGGAAGAGAAGGGGGTGGGCCCCGGGCTCCCCTGCGGGCCTCTGCTGGGTGAGCAGACCCAGCCCAGGCCCCTGGACGCCCTCAGTGACCCCACCATGAAGGGGTCAGTGGATGGCCCAGCAGGGTGTGGGTGGGTGGGAGGAATCCAGGTAGGACTCTGGAGGGGCTGCATAGAGACCTGGGTGACCCTTTCTTACCGCGGAAACCCTGTAGATGCTAGGGTATGGAGACGTAAGGCCAGAGATTCTGTTTGTGGGTGACTGCAGCTCCCCCAGGCTGTCACACAGGGAACCTCCCCTGGGGAGCCCCAAATGGAGCAAGGGCAGCAGAGTGGAGGGCCGCTCGCCAGGAGAATCCAGGCTGTACTGCCTACACCCTCCCAGATGGGGGCCAAGGACATGGAAACCCAGGACCTGCCACTCCTGACATGTGACCCTGGACATGCCTTTGTGACTCAGTTCCCCTCTTTTCAAAGGGACAGAATACTGCCTGTGACTCCCCAATTTCTGTTAAGGGCCTGCTTCCCGGGTGGCGGCCCCCTCCACGCTCCATCCCAGTGTCTCCCCTTCCTGCCGCACAAACCCACTCCCACCCCAGCTCCACTCGAACTTCTACAAAGCCGGGCCTTGGTCCATGGTCCCCTCTGCCCTGAATGTCCTCCAGTTCAGGCCCCAGACCCCAGACCCGTGGGGCTGCGGATCTCGAGGATGCGTGTGGGTATGGATGTAAGGGGTGCTGTTCAGGGCACGCCTAACATGCCCCCTCCCACCAAGACGTGCTCTCCCCCCACCCCCACGTCTAAGGATGAGAACATTGAACATTGCTTTCTCTGGGCCTTATCTGTGGAGAGAAAGCCCCTGGCGCGTACTGAGAGCCTCCTGTATGCACAGGTGGGAGCACAGCCCAGGGAACCGCCCAGTAAACGTGGGCCTGTGTCCAGCTCGGCCTCGCGCTCAGTAGCTGCAGCCTCTGGAAACCGCTGAGACCGCCTCTTCTCTGGGGTGTGGGCCCCCTGAGCTTCCTTGCAAGTTGTCAAGGGTCCCCAGGGTGGGTGGGTCCTGGGCAGATTCTTCTCCAGGTTGGGGGTGGGGCAGCGGTGAAGCCAGGTTCCACCCGTACCCCAGGGGCCACCCCAGTGGTCCCCGTGGCCCCTCCTGCTGTCTCTGGGCTGCATGGGTGTCACAGGCCCTGGTAACTCCCATGACCCAGTTCTGCCAATGGTGTTGTGTGGGGTCTCCAGGTACTGGGCCTGGTAGAGAACAAGGGCAGTTTGCCAGGGGCTCAGAGCCTGGGGGACCTGACCACTAGCAAGGGTTACCTTTACTAAGCGGCAACCTGTGCCCGCCTGGCACCCCCAGGCAGCCTCTGGGGAGCTCTGTTACCCTGCAGGAGGCCTGACATATGTGTCCCCAGGAGCAAGACCAGCTCTGCTTGCCCACGGCTGTAACACGCTGGACAACGTACCCTCTGTGGAGCCCTTCCCTGCCCCTCACAGACCCCGTATATACCCCAGCCCCCCTGGGAGGTGGATCCCAGATTGCAGTCCCAGGCCACACCTACTTGCTGTGTGACTTCAGGGCAGTCGCATGGCCTCTCTGAAGCTCAGTTTCCTTATCAGTGAAATGAAGCCACTCTGGGCCCTCCAGGCCGCCCCATCCCAGATGGGTGGTCCTCTGCCTCCCCCTTGTGGTGAAGAGGCCACACTGCGTGGGTCCCAGGTGGAGCACTGCCTGGCATACAGCGTGGGGGCCAGGTCTCAGCCAAAGGGTCAGGCAGGCCCAGTTCAGGCTGCCCTCCAGGCCATCGTCCTAACATGCAAGTCTCACTCCGGGGCCTCTGCCCAGAGCCGCCCACGGCACCCAGTGCCCAAGAAACGAGCTCCAGCTGCTCTGCGGCGGGGTCCCTCCATGGCCCAGGTCCTGCTGAGGCCCAGGACAGCCAGTCTCCATGACCCACCCTCAGGCCTCTCCGGTGGGGTCTCACTGTGAACACAGGGCAAGCAAAAGGTCCCTTCATGTGACAAACCCATGTGACCCTGTCCATCCCCATAGCCCACATGTAGCCAGTCTACTGGCCACCAAAGGCTCAGAGAGGACAGTGCCCTAGCCCAAGTCCACAAACCTGAGCAGCAGAGCTGTCACCGAATCCGCCCCTGCACCAGGCAGCTGCCCTCCCTGTCCCATGTCACACCCTCGCCTCAAGTCCCAAGAATCCCCGGATGAGACCCTCCAATATGCACGAAGGCAGCAGGTTGCAGTGAGAGCTCGGTGGGGCCCCACTGCGTTCAGCTGGGGCCTCCCAGCTCTGTTCCCACTGGGACCCACGGGGTCTTAACTCCGCCTGCCACCAGGTGGGGAGTGTTGGTGCTTTGCCACTGCTGAGGACCCCAGGACCACCATCATGGGCTCCCACTGTGGCTGGACACCATGCAGGAAGACAGCCACAACTCCACCCTTCACAGGGTGGGGGCCTGAGGCCCAAGGGGAGCCACTCTCCCAGGAAACTGATTATGGGACAGCGAGGAATCAGGTCTGAGCTGCTAGGGAACTCTGCCACCCTCAGTCCCTCTCTGCCAGGAGTCAGGAAGGTGAGCCCTGCTCCTCTGCTGGACACCAGGAACTCGGCCGTCAGGGCCCAGCACTCGGATTCCTCCATCCCAGGACCAAGGTCACAGATGTCCAGCTGTGGAGATGCCCATGTGGGGCCGGCGCCTGGGTGCAGCTTGCATAGACCCCGCCCACCCTCAGCTCCTGTGAGGCTCACGTCCAGCCCATCCCTCTCGCCAGGCCAGAAAGCAGCTAAAATGCCCACGTCAGAGGGCCCAGGCCAGGCCCAGAGGAGGCCAGCGCCTGCCCATGGCCACAGGCAGGTCCAGGCTGCTGCAGACCTGGCACTTGGCCCAAACTGCCCAGGAGCACGTGGGCAAATGGGAGACGGAGCCCAGGCCACATGGTCAGTTTCTTTATTGAGGCTGCCTGGACCCCCCGGAAACACTGCCCGGCTCCCACCCCTGGTGCCCACCACGCTTGGCCCACAGGCGAGGGTCCTGCAGCCCGGCCAGGCAGCTCACTCGGGGGTCCTGCTTTTGCTCTTCGGAGACAAGATCTTGGACAAGCGCGACCTGGGCTTCTTCTTCTGGAGGTCTGGAGGGGAGGACACTGCGGACGCTTGCCCACCTCTCGGCCACGGCCCCCATGTCCTTCCCGCCCACCTGCCAGAGCTCCTCTGGGCCCCCAGAGCCTCTGTCCTCCCCCAGGGGAGCCAGCCGGACGCCTGTCTTTGGAGTGTCCACCTGGTCTGGGCACCCCTGCCAGGCAAGGCCCTGCCAAGTGTGCCCCTCACCCTGCCCAGATCACCAGCTGCTTCTTAGGTCCCTCCAGTGAAGGAACGCCCTCCCTTAGGGCGAGCCTGCCTGTCCTCCCTTCAAATGGTCAGAGGTGCCCAGTCCCCCAGGAGCCCAGCCCTCCCGGCCCCCCCCCGCCCTGCCCCCCACTTACCCAGGTTCTGGATCATGTTCTGCAGCATTTCATCCTCCTCCTGTTCTCTGAAACAGGAACAGGGGCCATGACTTGGGGGCACGGGTCCCTCAGTCAGCCTCACACCTGAACCCTGAGCCGATCTGACACCAGGGCAACCTGCCTTCTCGCCTGACAACAAGCCACGCCTTGGCACCACCCTCTTGCTCCCAGGGCCCAGACCCTCATCAGTGACATGGGGACAACCTGTGACAGTGACATGGGGACGGAAAGTCTCTGGAACATCCTAGGCCAAGGGCCCTTCAGGTTCAAAGTGGCACGTCTGAGTCGTGACGTTGGCCACTGGCTCTGCATGGCCCCTGTCTAGACATGGGGACAGGAAAGCTCTGTGGGTGGTCACAAAGCTGGTGGCCCAGTGCACCAGGAGACACATGTGGTTACGGGTATTTAAAATGCAAATAAAAGGTAAAATTCTTTCCCTCTGTCCGTTGCACAAGCCACCGTGGAAGTGCTCGGTGGCCACATGTGTCCCGCGGCTGCCCTGTGAACAGCACGATTACAGGACATCCCGTCACTGCGGGAAGTTCCACTGGCGGCGCTGACCCGGAGGGCCAGGCACATGGGGTGCAAGGGGCTTGGTGCCGGGAGAACCTGCCCTGGGCCCACCTGTGAAGCACGCGTGGATCGGCCTGGGGTTCTGAGCGTGAGTGACCGGCCCTGGCCTGGCTGGGAGGGGCCTGGGTCCCCCCGCCCCTGGGCCCCGCCCCACCTGAGCCGGTCCTCATCCAGGAAGTCGACAATGTCACTGCGGTCATTCACTGTGCTCACATACTGGTTCAGCAGCTCCTGCTCCCGCTGCCGGTCCTGGGGTGACTTCAGACTCTCTGCAGGGACAGCCTGCCATCAGCTGGGGCCCCTGCTGTCCCACCCTGCTCGGGCCGCAGTATCCTCACTCCCCACGCGTCAGGCTCCTCCACTGGAGGAGGTGGTAGGGTCTTGGGGGTACCTGGGGCAGGGCGTGAGGCCTGTGGTGGGCTTTTGGCAAAGCAGATTGAATGAAGGAACGAATGAATGAATGAACAACCATATCAGAGACTGAGTGTTGCTGGCCCCTCTCTGGGTCGCCTCACCCATCCTCACAGATCTGCCCACAGTAGAGATGTGGAAACAGGCTCAGGGCAGCGAGGGGACTGCCAGGATTGGGGCCCCTTAACAACACGCTTAGCAGCACCTTGCAGGCGTTAACTCTTAATCCTCACAACAGCTGGAGAACCTGGGAGCTAGTGATGTCCCCACTCTGCAGGGGACGAAACCCAGGCACAGAGAGGGTGAGTGACTTGGCTAAAGACACACAGCCAGGAAGTGGAGGAGGTGAGCCTTGACTGGGGCTCCCGAGACGTGTGCCCTGAACAGAGCCCATCGGCCTCTCCCGTGGGTGACCAGCCCAGGCAGCCAGCAGGAGGGCGCCCCGGAAAGCATGCACCCTGCCCCCCCCCGGCCGGAGGCCCCCCCTCCCCGGGCCAGCCTGGGCTCCCCAGCAGGTGGGCAGGACGCACCGGGCTTGGCCATCAGCCGGCGCAGCTCCCCTTCAAGGCCCAGCTGCTGCTCCTCCAGGTGCTGGTCCCTGGCCCTGCAAGGGGACACAGGCGTGAGGCTGGCCCGCCTGGCTGGCCTCCCCTTGCCTGTGCCCAGCCCCCACCAGGAGGAGCGGCCCCCAGGACAGCCTGCGGGCTGGGCCCTCACTTGTACATCAGCTCCGACTCCAGCCGCAGCAGAAGCTGCTTCTCGTGGATGAGCCGGAACCAGTCCACCATGAGCGCGTCCTCCGAGTCGTCTGCGGAGAGGAGCCGGGCTGGGTGCAGGGCCGGGCAGAGGCCCGCACGGTGTCCCCAGCGTCAGGCTGGCTGCGGCCAGGGCTGGGCAGGGGGCTGGCACGCCCCGGGTGCTTGGGGGCCTGTGGCGGGGACGGCGTCGCTTACCCCCCTCAGCTGCCCGGAGGCGCTTCTCCAGCTCCACGCCCCTGGACTCCAGGGCGTCCAGCTGCCTCTGGATACTTTGAACCTGCCTCTGGATCTCTTCCGGGGGCATGTAGTCGGGGTGCAGCTGGGGACAAAGTGGTGGTAAAGGACAGTCAGGGTGCCGGGCACAACCCCCGGAGGCTGAGCTCCTCGCCCACGCCCACCCCTGGCCTACTCACCCTGACGGGGGAGGTCACTGCCTTGTCAGGTGGAGCAGGGGCACCGGCCGGGAGCAAGGGTCTCCCTGGAGAAGGGGCAGGACAAGCGTCCTGGACCAGGGTCACCAGGACGTGTCCTGGAAGGAGGTCTGACCTCCGATAGCTGGGCCCCCTGCCCTGGACCCCCACGTTCCCTGCGCCATCACCCACTTCCCTACCCCTGCCCAGGCCTCTGGGCAAGAGCTTGCAGACGGGTCCAGGCACCATCCCCATAAGTCCCCACACCTACCCCGGCCCCTGCCCGCCTCCAGCCAGCACCCCAGCCACCCCACCAGCACCCCAGCCACCCCAGCCCACAAGCTGCCAAGAGCAAACACACCATGTCATCAGGTCTCTGTGACCCAGGTGCTAGGAGGCACCGGAGCTCCGTCCAGTGCCCTGTGGGGAAGGGCCGGGGGCCGGGTACCCCAGGCCTCCTGCCCCGCCTCAAACGTGCACAGCTCGCCACGTCCAGGTGTGCGCCTGGGGCTCCCCCACCCACCCGGCCGGCGTGCCTTCCCTCCACTCTAGGCCTGATGAGCTCCTATTCATCCCCAAAGTCCCCACCAGGCACCTCCTCCTCAGGACCCCCTTTCATCTGCACCCCAACAGAAACGGGGTGGCGACTCGGGGCTGACCTGGTTTGCCCTGAGGAGGGGGCTTCTCCTCCGCCTCCTTCCAGCTCCTGGCCGGTCCTTCCTGCTCTGAGGGCTTGGGCTGAAGCCAGTTGCTAGAAATGTCCAGGCTGGCAGGGACAGCCAGCCTCCTGCGGCCGGAGGGGGAGGGGGAGGGGGCGG